TCACGATGGTCATCGGTGGGGGATTTTCGCGTGACGGCGTTCGCCCGCGTTGATCAGACATCTTCGTGATGTCGTTTTCTCGAATAACGCGGAACAAACGCATTAGGAGGGTATTATTTCATTAGCGTCGCGTGTCTCGAGCCGCATTAAGCGAAATTGAGCGAAATTGAACTCACCGGCCAGGGAGAAAACTAAAGTAAGGTGTGTCCTCCCTCTAACGCGCTACTAATAGCTTGCACAAATTAACCTGGTCGTTAATTAAGATTAGAATCCAATCAAATCTAGATAGAAAGGGCTATCAATATAATTCAGCATTTTTCTTGTTTCGTATAACTCTTTTTTCTTTTCTCTCTCTCTTGAGAGTTGAACAAATTCGAGTGTCCCGAAGCGATTCTAAGCAAAATTCTTTCCAATCTAGATGATAATTATTACAGGGAATATTATATTATAGACAATGGACGCGACAAACGTTTGACGAGTTGTAACAAATTCTTGCAGGATCCCGTTCAGCGACCGGGCTGTCGAAGATCGATTCACACGCCGAGGATGATGTGCTGTTCGTGTCGAGCAAGGATAGCGAAATTTCGGGCCTGTGGGTCAATTATCTTACCGCGTGTTTCGAACAGATCAGCAGGCAACAGGGCCGGCCGCCGTTCAAGTAAGCAACTTGCAGTTCGAATATTACAATCTTGAATCTTCCGATTTTCCAATCGGAGTCCTTCCATAACAATTCCTGACAACATTCTCCTCGTATTTCGATTAATTCGACTAAACTAACTAGGTCCGAGAAGTGTATAAGTAACAACAATCTGTCATTAACTGTTCCCGATCGAATCTGAATATTACAGAGTTCGTCACGTAACAATCGAGGAACCGATACAACCTGGTGCCGAAGAGAGGATTCGAGCGGCTCGCTTACAGATCGTCGTCGTGTGTCCAATATTGTTGGAACGAGCGCAAAGTCGATCGGAGCAGGCGACCAACCTCTCCAGACAGCTGATCACCGACAAGGTGCTCGCGATGATGTTGGGCGTCCACGATAGCCACATCAGCGACGTGCACAAGTCGATCCTGGTCTCGTACAACCAGTGGCGGAAGTTCTTCGTGAAGGATCAGGACGAGACGTTCGTCGGCGAGCTGCTGGGCGCCGCGGTTGCAATTCTCGGCACAACGCCGCCTCCTGCGTTGAGGTGCGACAAAACCGCGTTCTCCGTGCACCCGAAGAAAGTCAAACTGGTGAGCAAACCATGAGCGATAAATTAAGCAATTATCGAAGAAAGTCAAACTGGTGAGCAAACCATGAGCGATAAATTAATACAATATAATATATTTATTATATTTAATATATTTTATATATTTATAATTGGATTCCGAATTCGAAATACAATTAAGCGGAATACAATATTGTATAAATTGTATTATATTGTATTGACCGACTAATTAAGGTTAAAGAAGGCTGAATTTTATTAACTAGAAATGGATTCTTCGATTAACACTGGAACTACCAAAGTAGCCAAAATGGCCAGTTTATAATTATAGATGTAGTTTAAAAATTCGAATGATCTTTCAAAAAGCGTGTCAGTAAAAAGCTTGTTTTAATCTATTGTATTGCGAAGCTTTCATTTTTTAACTTTAAGCTTCAGTCGTAGTTCCAGTGTTAGAAACGAAAAGA